AAACATTGTCCATCTCGATATAAAGGTATCTGTCCCCAATGTTCTTTTTTGCTTAAAAGTATATTCACCATTTCCTCAAAGATGGTACACTAAAATGCTTATGCTTATGTAATTATGATAAATGTGTTTTAGTGCAAGATAGCGCAGAATTATTATTTTTTTACAATCTAAGTAAAAATATTATTAAAAAACATTTCTTCTTTTTCTCTCAAAGCCAGAGAATATTTTAATGTCACGCCCTGGCAGTGACCAGATTCGCATTTGTGATTATGGAAATGCCATTAAATTGGAGTCCTCCGATCAGTACTACTGCAAATATGGAACGCCAGAATTCGTCGCCCCGGAGATTGTTAACCAAACTCCTGTTTCCACAGCAACAGACATATGGTGAGCCACCTGTTTTTCCCACTGCAGACGAGACTTAGCATTTAAATAAAACTGTCACCCATTTTTGTTTTTTTCACAGGCCTGTTGGTGTCATCACCTACCTCTGGTAGGTAAGATAGGTTAGTGTGGAGCATTTTATGAATTTAAAACTTCTGAATCCTAAACTGTTTATTTTAATATACAGTCTGACAGGTGTGTCTCCTTTTGCTGGTGAAAACGACAGAGCTACCGCCTTGAACATCCGCAATTACAATGTGGCGTTTGAGGAGAGCATGTTTGCAGACCTCTGCAAAGAGGCTAGAGGATTTGTCATCAAACTTATGGTGGTGGACAGACTGTGAGCATCTTGATTAGTCTCATATGTACAGCACCCAACAAAAATGGATAAAATGATTAAAAAAATAACACAGAGTATATTTTTCCTTTTTCCTGTCTTTCAGGAGGCCGAGTGCCATGGAGTGCCTTCGACATCCCTGGTTTAAGGTCTGCTGGCTCCACTAGAGTTAACAATTTTGAAGTGGTATATAATTGTTAAAATAGCATAGTGAAAGTAAAGTGAATGTGAATTGTGACACAGCACACAAAATCAAATGTGACCTCTGCTTTTAACCCATCACCAAAGTGAACAGTGGAGCAGCTTTAAGGACCAGGGAGCAGTGTGTGGGGACGGTGCCATGATCAGAGCACCTCAGTGATAGACTCGAACCTGAAATTCAAGTCTGCTTTCTTAACCACAAAGCCACCACAATTGTTATTCTTTTTATAAATTCTATGTGAAATACAAGGTCTGCATGGTATTTTCGTTCACATGTAGACAAAAGAAGACAAGATAGATTGGTTAGTAAATGGGGGGGGGGGTTAATATGATTAGCTCTACAGTATAAGTATGGGATATAAAACTTTATTTTTGGTTAAATATTTGATGTAATATTTGATCTAAACTTCTGGCACCAAAAAGGACTCAAAAACATACTTTATAAAATTGGACCTAAATTAACATTTTTCATGGTTTAATTTCAATTTCTTGGTTGTCTTTCATTTTTATTCTGCAGTCCCCAAGAAACAAGACCATCAGTACAAGCATCCTGAAGCAGGTTTTGTCCAGAAGGAAATGGCAGGTGAGACACACATTCACTGTCTGTAAACAAAGTAAGTCTTTTATGCGCATAGAAACAAGATGCAGGTCAAATTGTCTAATTTTTCTCTTTATTTCAATAAAAACATTAACATTGACTGATAAAAATTGTGGTTAAAAAGAAATGTCTAACGATCTCTCCTGCTCCATCAGCGTTCTCTAATCAGCTACAAAGCCAAGATGGTAATGCGGTCCATTCCAGAGCTTCTAAATGAATCCTCCAACCACGTCTCAATTGCTGTATCACGGCATTTAAAAGAAGGATCTGAACAACTTTCCTCTTCCTCTGACTCAGATGCAGATGTTGATGAGCTGCCTTTTATTCCTATGCCATTGTCAATGGTCTTCTCAGGTTCCAGAGTCTCCCTTAATGAGATATCTGGGGATGGAGATGTCTCTGCATGTCACAGCGCTAGTACTGGTGGGACTGGAAATAAGGAAAATATGGAGGTAGGAAGTTCAAGAGGAAGAAAACCTGAAAGGTTGGCAGATGAGGAGGAAGCAACAAGTGGGCAGAAGATGGTGGAGACAAAAGGAGCTCCACTTAGAAAAGGAGCAAGTGTGGAGGCAGAAGAATCGGAGACAAAAGCCAGGAGGGCTACTATGAGAAGAGGAAGCTCCGCTGATTCAGCTCTGCTCCACATTGATACAGAAGAAGAAAAAGCCACTGAGGAGTCAGAGAAAAGTAACAAGAACCTTAAAAAGTCGGTGTCTATGGAACTCCCTAATCGCAGCCCAAGTCCAGGGGCAGCAAAGCTGAGCCAGGAGGATTATGCCCTTAAACTGGAACTGATGAGACAGCGGCTGCTCAGGGGAGGAAGTATGGACAAAAAAATGAGTGGTCTTAGAGGACCATTGTTTGAAACACTGGGCATTGATGATCAGAGTCAAACAGGGTCTCTAGATCGTAATTTGAGGCGATCAAGAGCAGGGCCCTCAACAATTACCAGGGCTGCATCCTCTGACACTCCCTCTGAAGACACGCCAAAGACCAAAGTTTTTAAAAAAAGCATCTCCTTCACTCAAGGGGATTCTGAACCTATGCCTCTGCACCGCAGGTTTGGAGAGCCTTTAGAGATTCCCTCTACCGGCAGTGCTACTAATGAAGGGAAAAAGCTCAAGGAGGCAACCTCAATGTCAGCACTGACAGAGCAAACAACACTGAAATCAACTTCCACCTCCCCAACAAGAAAGGCTTCATTTGTACTCCCAACAAACGAAGAGGACCAACAGCAAAAACAGAATCATGTGAGAGAACATGGGGGCACAGAGAGGACCAGTAGGACCAGTAACTCAGATCAAACACACACTGTAAAATCTGAGTCTATGCTATCCCCTGTAATCCCTCCCATAATTGTGACTGCGGATAATGATGAAGCACCAAACAGACAGAAAAAGAAAGAGTTAGATATTCATAAAAATGATAGGAAAGAAAATGGAAAAATGGCACAGAATAGTAAGCCATCAGGTACCATTCAGAAAGTTCTGGTTCAAAACCAAACCACAGACTCTTCAGCTGCAGGCCTATCAGACATTACACTGGGCAACCATCCCCCTGCATTATCAGAACATCCAGCTGTCTTTGCTAAAGTAGCAACTGCTGACCAATCCCCCACTGCGATTTCCTCCTCACCTAATGCCTCTGTCCCACGTCAAGTGATGCTCAGAACAGATATCAAAGACATTGACTCGGAAGAGATCTTTGAAGCCAGATTTAAGAAGCGGGAGTCGTCTTTAACTCGTGGAATCCGAAAGTTGACCAGGAACAAATCAGATGAGAAGTCACCAATATTAAGTCGGAAGACAACTGAAAGTGGTGAAGAGGTTTACAGGCCAGGTCCGAGGGGTGCACCTATAGAAATGGTAGCTAGCGGACTTCAGGCAAAATCTAAATCTGTTCAGGATTTGAGAGAAGATGACAAGGAAACAGGACTTAGTCTGATTGGAAGGTTTTCCTTGCGAAATAAGCGATCCACAAACATGGACAAGAAAGTTGAAAAGACAAAAGAGGACAAGGCCCAGGGTGTACAGGAATCTGCTGTAGGCAAGAGGGTTTCATGGGCCGTTGGACGCAGCAAGTCCCTAGATACAAATGAGCAGAGACCAGTGGAGAACAGAGAGCTAAGAAAAGAGGAGGAGTCATCAGTTTCTGCAATGAGGCGCAGATTTGAGTCTAAAGTGGCAGGAATTTCTGCCAAGCTCAGATCCCAGTCAAAGGAGAGGAACAATAAAGATGCAGACGAGGGTCAAAAAGAGCTGGTGCAAAGAAAGGAAGTTAAAAAGGCCACAGACTCTCCCATCCTGGCAATGCGACAAAGGTTTGAGAACAAGGTGTCAGAAATATCCACAATAATCCGCAGTCAGTCTAAAGAAAAAAAAGGAGAAACGGAGGGAAAGGGGACGCCCCTGTTTTCTCGCCACCGTCATTCCCAGTCTGAAGGACGAGGAGCTCAAGGAATGGGCATCCCTGAGAATCAGCTGGCACAGCAGGCAGGCACGAGTGCTTCAAGGGAATCCAATGAATCTGTGTCCAGCTTTCAATCCGACAAGGGCTCTGACAGTGACAGGCGTTCACGCTGGGACAGGTGGGGGTTAACGAGAGGCAAGAAAGACAAAACCTCTTCCCAACCTGATCTACCTTCATCTTCAACCAAGAAAGAGGGTCAGTTTGTCCGCACAGCCTCAGACTTTGCTCCTGTTTTCCACATTAAACTTAAAGACCAGATCTTGTTGGAAGGGGAGTCAGTCACACTCACTTGTCTTCCAGCTGGAAGTCCACACCCAGAAATAATGTGGATGAAAGGTATGGTTGGTCTCGCTGTTGATTTTTAGTCCGGACTGCCATTGATGTGCCAGTTAGTATCTCTACTGTTCTCTTATTCCAGATCGTAAACCACTGGAGCTGAATGACCGGATTAACCTGATGTCCCACCCCGATGGCAGGCAGCTTCTAACAGTCATGAAGTCCTCTCGGAGGGACACTGGAATCTATGAATGTGTAGCAACCAACCCTATAGCTACAGTAACCACCTCTTGCACACTTTCTATAGCGTGTAAGTAGTGTATGTTTTTATTTTCATTGGACTTGATTATACAGGACCTGGTTTGTGGATATAAACCACAAATCAGGGATCCCTCCGTTTAGGGTGGTTACCCTGGAGTGGAGTGCTGCAGCTGTCTTTGGCACTCAGTGGGTCTGGAAAAGACTTGGGTCAAGGTTGCATGCAGTTCTTTCCTCATCCTTTATAGCAGGGGTCACCACTGTGGCGCCAGGGGTCACCTGGGAGCCCTCGTGGACTACTTAAGGTGACCGTGGGGTATGTTCTAAAAAATCTAACTTGTCAACAACAGGGTGGAAAATTGAACTGTTACTGTTCTTTTTGGATCCGTTACACTTGCAATGATATTTAAATGGGTTCTGTCGTATGTCCCAGCACTTGACACAGCAGCTTTAGTTTTCTTTTTTATTATTATTACTTTGTTTGGGAAGTCTGTATCAGACAAGTAGCTCTTCGTATTAATAAGTACTCTTGAAGTAGCTCTCAATTTCAATTTTAAAGCTTTATTGCGACCCTGCCTTGTTGTTTTCGATTCATAGTCGTGGAACTCAATACTCAATGCGTCTTTTTTGGGGGTTTTCTGGAGGGACACGGCCTCTGGCATCACAAGGACTGGCCTTAGAACTTTTTTCCATATTTCCATTTCAGTTTTAAATTTTGATGTAAGCTGCTTACCTGACGCACACAGACCAAGGAGTCTAATGCTCACACAAGCAGCAGGGCCCCATATGTTTGTGATGGCATTTGGCCTGGAATTTCTCCAGGTTTTCTGAGTTTTTATGCAGAACAATTTGTAATAATACCTTTCTATTGTCTTATCTGATTGTACTAAAGGTGTCCCAAAACGCCCAGGGACCCCGGAGGTCCCTCAGACTTATGATACCACAGCCTTGGTCCTCTGGAAGCCTGCGGACACCAAACCTCCATGTAGCTACACATTAGAGAGAAAGAAAGAAGGTGAGTTAGTTATGAGCCAACCACATACATATAAACTCTTTTCTTTTTGTTGTTGTTATTTTTTGTTTCACATATTTTGTTACCTTTGCTTTCTCTAGTAACTCTTGGTTAATTTTATTTATGGTTTGGCCTGTTTATGATATTTTTGCTAACCATACCTCTAGATTCAAGTTCAAAATACAGTATCACGGGACAAGTACAATGACTCCATCTAGTGTTAGTGTACTAGAACTACAACACGTGATTTGCTTTTCGTACCCTGCAATGTTTTCCTAAAATGTACCAAAATTTAAAATGTGAGTTTTACTTTGCAGGAGATTCCAAGTGGCTGACTGTGGTCACTGGAGTGGTGGATTGTTACTACAATGTCACGAACCTGCCACAAGGTGACACATTCAGGTTCAGAGTTTCCTGCGTGAACAGGGCTGGACAAGGGCCACACAGCAACCAGTCCGCTCCAGTCTGCATGAAGTCAACAGGTGAGGTATTTTATTGATGAGCTCTAATCTGGAAAACAGAAGGATATGTTCAGGGTCCTGGTCCTGTGTTCGACATGTGAAATTAAATTTGGTTAGCAGGTATATTAGCTGTTGTAAATGTAATATTTCTTTCATCACAGGTGGCAGTGTTTCACCTGCTGTTGCTGCTGTGAAGACAGTCCCAACCCCACCAGTGGTCACCTCATCAGTCGTCATACCTGGAAAACCAGTCCAAAGTAACCCCTCCAGGATTATAGCCTCCACTTCCTCCTCTCCTAAAGATCCATCCTCCTTTATGTTGGTGCAGCCCGTCTCTTCTTCCTCTCATCCTTCTACCCCTATTCCCACAGCAGCCCCTGTAGGGAGGAAGATTGAAAAAGCCAATGAAACAGTCTTGAGTCATCCCTCTTCACCAACAGTCAAATCCCCTCCACCGTTTGTCCTCCCAAAACCCCAGAGTCCAGTAAATGTAGTCACACCAATGACTCAAACCACATCTGTATTTTCCACTCCCCCTCATCTTGTAACTCCGTCCTTGGACCACACAAAACCAGCAGTGTCTTCTGTGCTGGTCCATGTTCCTACCGCCACTGTCACTGCTCGTGTGGCCCCAAAACCAGTGTCTCCCACACAAATAACTCCTTGCGTTGCCCCAACTCCTGTGGCTTCAACTTGTGTTGCCCCAACTGTTGTGGCTCTGTGTTGCCCCAACTACTTGTGTTGCCCCAACTGTTGTGGCTCCAAGTTCTTTAGCTCCTATTCCTGTGACTCCGACTCCGGTTGCACCAAATCCTGTCACCTTCACCCCACAAGTGCTCCAGTTGTCCAGCCTGAGTCCGATTGGTGAATCAGTCAGAACTTCCTCCAGAGGCACACCTTCAGCTCATACTACACCCTCCACTGTTCTACGACAGGGTGTTCCACAGAAGCCCTACACCTTCCTCGAAGAGAAAGCCAGGTATTTGACCTCTTAAGTTGTGGTATTGTATGGGGCTAAGAGAAGGAAGCAGGGTTGGGACGATTCCATATTCATTTATTTTAAAAAATATATTATTTTAATAGTGGCGCTTTGGCCCAGAGGCAATGTCTCTGTCATTGGTGTGGAACCCCAGGGTTCACCTCCTGGGCAAGTTCGAATCCCGGTTAGGGCGGTTGGTACCTTCCAGTGGACTCACCACCCGCAGGAAGGTTTGGTACGGTGCAATGTGATTTGGGTGGCGACTGCTGCCCCTGCGACCCGGTAACGGATAAGCGGATGAAAATGGATGGATGGATGGATATTATTTTAATATTACTGTAAAATACTACTTTGAGACATTTGTTGTAGTAGGTATCAGTCTTGCATTGAATAATACATTCTGCATGGTATATAGAAATATATATTAATCTTGTTGTGAATGTGAATTACATTACATACCTAAAGTACTGCTCTGAGCTAACTCTATAGATGTGTTGGGTTCATGTTAAAAAAAGACATCCTGACACTGATGCCTTTTTGTACAGAGGTCGCTTTGGAGTAATCCGTGAGTGCAGGGAAAATTCGACTGGCAAAATCTTTATGGCGAAGATCATTCCCTATAGTCAAGAGAACAAGCCAGAAATCCTGAAGGAGTATGAAATCCTGAAATCCCTTCACAATGACAAAGTGATGTCTCTGCATGAAGCCTATGTCACGCCACGCTACCTGGTGCTGGTGTCAGAGTATTGCACCGGCAAAGAGCTACTGTACAGCCTCATAGAAAGGTGAGTCAACTCAGATGTCACCTCTTTTTATGACCAGCCCAGAGACAGGATGGGAATGTTGGACATGTCAGTTATTGACAAACTGTTTCACACCTAAGATTCCGCTACTCTGAAGATGACGTGGTGGGGTATTTGGTCCAGCTCCTTCAAGGTGTAGAGTACCTCCACAGTCGACGTGTCCTCCACCTTGACCTGAAACCTGACAACATCATGGTGACCAACCTCAACACAATCAAGATTGTAGACTTGGGGAGTGCACAGAGCTTCAACCCACTCAGTCTCAAGCAACAGGACTCGAGAAGAGGAACGCTGGAGTATATGGGTATGACCGAAAGCTGGAGGACCAAAATCCTATAGTATCTACTGGTGCACAGCGACAGTAATCCTGACTTAACTAGTTACTGTTGTACTGTTTAACACTCAGCTCCTGAGATGGTCAAGGGCGAAGTTCTTGGTCCCCCGGCAGATGTTTGGACGGTGGGAGTCGTCACCTTCATCATGCAAGTCAAAAATAAACTTCTAACTTAAACAACAATATATTTGCTAGTCTCAATTGAATTAACTGTGAGGCTACAGCTGTCTATAAATAGCCAAAAGAACCGAAGACCAATTAATAAAAAAGTGCTCTCTCTGGGTAAAAAAAGAAATTATAGCCAAATCATAATTTACCATTAGATGCCAGTAGCTCCTGCTCACTGTTTTTCCAAAACATAAAATGTTGTTTTTTCATGTGGATTTTTGTCACTACTAGGCTTAGTGGTCGACTCCCCTTCGAAGACAAGGACCCCCTTAAGGTTGAATCCAAAATCCTGATGGCCAAGTTTGAGCCGGCGAAACTCTATCCAAATGTTTCCCAAAGTGCCTGTGCCTTTCTGAAAAAGATGTTGAGCAGTTACCCGTGGTAAGTTCTGGAAAAACACCCCTATATAATCAGAAAGGTGGATTTTAGTAAATGAATAGAAGTCAGTGGAAAGTAGTGCTTTCTAGCTCTGGTCTTGTTTTCCACTCTGTGTCCATGGGTTCCTACTTCGATCTCATACACAGCAATAGTTCTGTTCATATTTGTTACACTAGCTGCAGGGGTTTAAAATTTCACACACATGCCTGAGCTCCTACTCCACATGGAGGTGGTATTTGCAAAATGACATTCTTATTTTGAAGTAAAAATGACATAAATAAAAAAAATGGAGCTTCTGTGTTGGCTGTTTTTGGTGCTGCATTATGACGTGGGTGGAGCAACACAGATCAGACTTCTAACAGGAGTTGGAGAACATAATTTATTGGTTGTTGTGGAGCATGTGCACTAGAGAGGGTGGGTCAGTGCACAATCAACATGCTGAGCTGCACACGCGAGCCGCAGGGCCTTGTAGGGAGTGTTAAGGAGCTGACGACGACAACCACGTCCAGTTATTCTTGCCCCACACATGGCATGTGGGGGCATCGTGGCAGGGCTTTTAATCTGAAACAGCCACAGATAATCTAGACCCCATTCTGGGCTACTGTTACATATATTTCTAATGTATTTAATCTGATTTTCTGTGGCAATACACTGTACATTTACAGGGCTCGTGCGACCACCCGAGACTGCTTCGCTCACGCTTGGCTTCAGGACTCTTACCTGATGAAGCTGAGGAGACAAACGCTCACCTTCACCTCCAACCGACTCAAAGAGTTCCTGGTTGAACAGCAGTGCCGTCGCACTGCCGACGCCACCAAGCACAAGGTGTTGCTGCGCACCTACCAGAGTTCACCCCAGTCTCCAGCCCTAGGGACCGCAGCTCCAGCTGATGTGAAGTGACGGCAGAAGCCTCCAGAATACACTACCTGGGCATGAGTCTGCAGAATAAACCACGTTGTGCATCCTTCCCAGGTCTTCTGTGAAGTAACGCATAATGAATGTTAGCGTGTCAGGTCGGGGAACACAGTGACAGCTGGTTTTAGTTTCAGTATCCACAGAGCAGCTCCTGCGCCTGTTCTTCAGTTGAACAGATCCTGGCACTTGAATGATTGTCTTTAAGAGACCGTTAATCCAACAACAGAACACAGGGTGTTCCATTATTTGTGATTGCACATTTTCTCAGTCATGTGATGAATTGCTTAACTGCACATTAATATTTGGTGATTAATCAGATCAACACTGCACGATTAGCCTGGACACATTTCCTCTCTGTTCTTGTCACCACAGGTGTGTTCACACTTGTCATGTTTGGTGCTGACGCTCTGTTGGTGCCGTGGTCTTGAATGTATGCAAAGACTGACATCTAAGCCTTGGTTAAAAAAAAGAAAAAAGAAAAGAAATTACCAGACTTTTGAGAGGGACCTTGACTACTGGCTTGGCTTACACCTAACTGTGTTGATGTGTAAACATCCAATGAACAAACACCATCTGTCTCAGCCAAATTCATAGAATCTGACACTAAATATGACCCTAAAAATACCATATGACAAATTTCAGATAAGAAGTCCTAATGCAACTTACCTCAAGGTATCTTGACTTTTGATGGTTGCAATAGAATAACTGATTAGAAGGTTTGTTCATTGCCGAGGTAAGTGTCCTGTCCAGGGATATCACTGAAAACAGAACAGAGCCAATGACTTTTCCACAGGAAGATAACTTTCTGTGACTTGTGACGACCAGATCTGGATACAGATGTATGCTAACAAAATAAATACAACTCTGAGGAATTATAGTTAACAAGAGTCAACATATTTAGTGACATCATTAATCTGTCCGTTCAGATTTTTTTGATCTGATCCAAATTATATCTTTTTCCAGTCATGAGTGCATTAAGTGAAAGAGGACTTCAGAGACAAAAACCCAACTTAATGTATGAGCATCTGTTTTAATTAAAATCAAAAGAAGTAAAAAGAAACACAAAAGGCACCAAACTGTATGCTGTGGTCCCTCACTTTTGGCCACACACACATATATATATGTGGGTACAAGTGTGAACACACTCCTAATTTTGGTATGTAACAAATGTTATGATTGTATCACCTTTTAAGCTGCTACTTTATTTTCAGAATACGTAACATTTAAGAAAAAAAACAAACCAAAACTATTCTTTAATTTCTCTTGAAACTGTTTAATATTTTATGTTAATTTATTTGCATTTGTGTACATTTGTTTATGAGTGTATATGTGTGGGTGTGTGGATGATAACAGTCTTCAAAAACTGAAATTGAATACACGAGTGTCTTTGTTGTAGCATTAGGATTCACACAGTGACAAAAGTGGTTTGTTTTAGGGCAAGCTCGGACTTTGTGGTGAAACTTCTTGTTCTGTGGTTTGATAACTGATCTCTACTTGTTACGCTGTTGCAAAATAAGTTGTCTGTAACAAACAGGTAGAAAATACTCGCTGTTGTTGCTCAGTGTTATTCCTCGGTTAGTCTGGTGGAGTTAAGAAGTCCAGTTAGTGCCTCAATTTGAAATGTGCACCGTGTAAATCTGTCTAAGCTGATGAGCAGCTGACTGCTTGGATTAAAAGAACAAAATTGCATTCAAGTTTGATACATATATACACATAAATGTATATATACGTAGTGTATATACACACATTTTTACTGGCATACATATGGTCCTTGTAATAATAGAAAGTCCTTGTGTATTTGCTCTTTCACAGTGTTCCTCTTTTGTATGACTTTGGATGGTTGGTGATTTGTAAATGTACCACTTTGCGGTGTTTGTATGTGAAAGATTTTAAAAATGTTTTTATGACAGTATGTAATAAACTGTGATACACAATTATGAAAATGTCTCTTTTTTAGATGTGCTTAGGATGTTGTTTCTTCTTAAAAAACTGAAGATCTCTGTTTAAACTGTAATTATTTACTTTTCTTTCATAGTCATTTAAAGGCACAGGGCCACTGGCTGTTAATTGTACAAAATAAGTATGTAATGTGGTTTAAGTCAAAAATGTCCTTTTGATTGTTTTGATACAATCTTATCAAACATCTGCTAAACTATCTTCTAGTAACCGTTTTTTTTTTTTTTTAATTATGTTTTAACTTTCTTTGGTTCATTTGTTTTAGAGCTAGTGAGTTTCCAGGAAAATGTTCATTTGTTCATCTGCCATTGAATTAAACTAGCTATACTTGGGATAACTCTAACCTTTACCTTGGTTATTTTTAACTTTGAGGCATTTGGCCTGGGTTCTGTTATTTTTAAGCATTATCTTCCGTAGGACTTCACTTTGTTCTCAACTAGTTTTTTTTTTTTTTTTTTGGGGGGGGGGTGTATATTCGGACTTTTTGCATTAACTTGTAGGGATTTGTTTATTTTTATTTATTTGTTATCCTCTGTCAAATTAATTCGAAACCTTAAATATTTATTCTAAACTAAACCTGCTAAGATAGTGTCCATGTATCTTTTACCCCTTTTTTTATCTTTTATCTTTTATCTTTTATCTTTTTGTTTTAGCTCTGACTTGTCTTAATTGTTAATTGTAAACAAATGAAAATAATATGACCTACATGGAAAAAGCATGTGCACATTGTAGAAGTATTTTCCACTCAGCGTTTACACATTTTTACTAATTTAACAAGACAAAAAATGGCCTTGCCACTGATTTTAAATTTTAATACAAAAAAATCCAAAGTAGTTTATATTTAACAAACAGCATTAATTTAATCACTGAACCAAAATGTTTATCTTTTATTTCTAGAAAAATATAGCTTAAGACTAAAGAAAAAAAGAAAGAAAGAAAGGAAGAAAACCAGCCATTGCAAAACAAATGCAATAATTTGGTTAGAATAAGACCAAGAACCTGTATTTTTTAAAAGAAAAGTCGCAATCCCCGCACTTGTGAGACGCTCCCTGGCCATAGGCAGTTTCAAGGGAACCCAAACTGGGCGTTTCTTTGTGGCTACTCCCACAAGAAGTTATGCTCTCCAGCGAGTTTTTTTCTGTGTAAAGTTTGGATTTAACATGTTACAAACGTGGTGCAGAGTAGCAGCTTAACACGAGAACGTTTAAAGTCGTCAGTACTTTCCTTGCGTTGCCAAAGAAGTTCACCGACTTGTGCAATTTAACCTACGATAAAAAACGTTTTAAGTGTCTTTTAATGGTATTGAAGTCGCTGTTTATACAGCAGGGAAGTTGGTGAATGTGTAATTTAGTTAAATTGTGTCATCTGGTGATAAAAATATGTCCTACTTCTATGTTGTGCGATTAGCCTGTTAGCTTAGCATTAGTTTTAGAAACTTTATTTTAGGCTACTTTGAGGGACCGTCGTCAAGTTTACAAGGAGCAGACGCAAAAGACACGCTGTGTGAGTCCATTCCTTTACTGCGCCACTTTAAGCGAAGCGGGGAGCCTTGAAACCTCCATGTTTGTATCTTGAAAATTGCGAGCGCAGTCGAGCACCATATTGAAATCAAAGTTGCCAACTCCTCTATCAATGTTCGGTAACTTTACGGACTTTAGAGTTGAGCGAACGACGACAGTCGGAGAGGAATGGGGGCCTTGTAGGCGTTTTGTTGCGACGTTTCCCGCTGTGCATCGGCTGCGTTTCCTCCTGAGTTAAAGTTGGTTTGATGCGGCGCCGAGTCAGCGACAAGGGTCTAAGTTTAAAGTGTGAGGTCAGCACTCTGGATCAGACCTGGATGTGATGGACAATCCGTCCTCAGTGATCACCCAAGTCAGTCGGGATGAGGAGGGGAATAAAGCCGCAGCAGCAGAGAGGGGTGAGTCGCTTTATTCTTGGTTCCGCACGAATGACACGAGAAACAGACGGGAAAAAGTTTCAGTGTCGGCCACAAATTTGATTATAGAGTGGTTTAAAACACTTAGTGCATGGACCTCCGTCACAACACCGTAAGCAACACAGCAGAACGTTACCGTTGCCCAATCAGGGGTTAACTGTTCATTATAAAACAAAGGAAACTACTCTAAACACTTTCTTTGCTCCGTCCGCATCGACAGTATGGCTGCGGCCCTTTGGCCTGTGATGAAAGTGAAGGAAGTGACGCAGCTGAGCCACAGACTCTAAACGTCAATACTCCTCTAACAAAACTATAATCAACAGCCATTATTTTAAACCATTTAAGTCATAATACAGTTATTTAATACAGAATTAGACAAATTGCTACATCATATTTAAGACTTTCAAAACATTTTTAGTCCGACAATATAAAGAACGGTAAAGCAAATGCCATCAAAAAGTATTTTAAAGTTGGACGAAAAGTCAGACCATATAATTAGGAACAACAATTATAGTTAGAAATAAGTAGAAACTGCATTTATATTATGTTTTAATACTTTACAAACCTATGTCAACAGCTTCAAAAAGCAGAAGAAAAATAGTTAGAGTTAGACAAAATTAAAAAGAAACCAAACACAGACAGAAATAAAATAATGCTTGCCAATTTAGCTAAGAATTGTCCAAAGTGTCCCTAAATTATTATTATTATTCAAAGGAGGGTTAAGTAAATTTTGTCTAAATGTGGTAAACCAAATTGTTGTTGCATTTTTGTATTCTTGCTGGTCCAGCGACTAATATTCTGAAACAAAAGCCAGTAAAATTAACACAATTCAAGGCCACAAGAGTGCACCAACTGACCTATAGAGACTTCCTTACGAAATTTAATCTGCAGATTATAAACTGTGCTGCAGAAAAGACACCTAACAGACCAACAAAAACTGATGCTGATGGTGAGACAACCCAGCAGAAGAGCAGGCAGAACCCACATTTCCCAAAAATACCAACACAGTAGAGCAGAATTGCTCCCAAATGTAAATAACAAATGATCAAACATGTTCTAATATAACAAAAGGGTTTTTGTTACACTGTAGTTGCGTCGTATTAAATTAAGAGTGAGAAGTCACAGAGTTTTTATAAGAGCCACAATAAACATCATTCATACAAGCACTGAGAAGTAATATGTTAACTTTACTCAACATTGTTTTGAAGCAGCAATCTTTTGCACAACCACAGGAAAAGATTCCCTAATCTACGAACAAACAAGCTAACAGTCAGAACAAGACTCAATTTGTGACAATATAATTAGCAGTGTACAGCAAACAGTCTTCATTATACAGGTATTTAAGCAGAGTTATAATCAGAGACTCACAGATGAGGGAGATACATGGAAATCAGTTAAAAGCAAACAATGCTGATTGTCATCAAAGGTCTGTGTAACAGTATCAGAACCTATTAATAAATATTTGGATAAAATAGATTTTTTTAAAAACCCTAATGGATAAAACATGATGTAAAATTGATCTCAAATGCACATTTGGAAATGTGATGTATATTTTGTCAGTCAGACTGATACCCTGGGCAGGTAGGGTGTACACATTAAACTGGCAGCTACATTCGACCCTTTTATCAACTCTTTAGTCAGTTTTGGATGTCAAAAGATGAAAGACAGTACAACACTGTCCACTCCAACCATTAACTGGTTTGTGAGACAGTTTCCTTTTTATGTTTTATTTGCATTGTGTGAATTCCAGTGCTCTGTGCTTGTACAGAAAACACACTAACATTCCAGCAGAGTTGAGGTTACTGAATAATCAGAGGACCGTGTTAGTCATCATTCACAGGACAAAAAAAGGGTCAACAGTCCAACATCTGAAGAGATCAATGTTACTTCCTGCTAGTGATTTTAATGACATAGACATAGGAACTACTGGTAGTGTCCAGAGAGTATCTCTGATTTTACAGAGACTCAATCTAGAAACTAAACTAAACCTGGTTAAGATCACGTTAAAGCAGAGCAACTGACTGACCACTATTAGGTACAACTCAGAAACTAACAGTTGTTCATTAAGCAAAGTTAGTTGTCATCTGTAACAACATAATGCGTTAGCTAATGAGGGTAAAAAAATAGTGTTAAGATTGTTATAATATTGTAACATATGACAATATTGTACATACTGTATATGTTTTCCACCCAATGTTTTGCAAATATTCTGACCGTCTTCAAAGACCAAAACTAATGGATTAAAGTAAAAACCTGCTTTCTTAAAAGTGAAATGCAATTCAGTAGGAGCTACAGTATATGTCATGTGCTGCAATACTATACACAGATTTATATTAATATACTTTAATTGTCAGAATAATGGTTCCTCTGCGACTTGAACCCAGGACTGTCTGAGGCAGATGGGTGAAGCAGGTGTGCCAACACTATGGAACCACAATATACCACATACTGCTTAAATTTTAAAAGGAAGAGCCATTCAGAATGGAGCTGTTATATGCAAGTTGTGATCAACTCTTTCTTTTTAATTTTCATCAAGAAACCAAAATAATTTGCTTAAAAGTAGCATAATTCCTTTTTTATTAGGCATTGTTTAACCACACCAGGCCCAAGTTGGTATGTGTATCTTTTTTTATGGAGTCATCATAGTGAATAACTACATATTGTTTTCTCTTAAAAACTGTCCTGTGATTTAAATACCAAATTAAATGTCTGTGGATTTTTATTTTTCAATGGACAGAAGCTACATTGTATTAAATGTGTGACTCGAAGCAGCATCTCATTTCACAAATATGAGACATTTAGATTAGATCCAGTCATTATATCAACACTGTCTGGATTTAGTCTAATTGACGATCGGTTAATCTAGTCTTACTGATTAAGTAAGACAGTGTAAGATTAAAATGTTATTAGGTGTACTCTATATACACTTGATAGCCTTATTTACAGTAGACCAGTTTGGACCAGGTTTGCATTAGGGTAGATCTTTAATATAGACCTAGACCAGATTAAGTTTCAGTTCATTTATATCAGGGGTGCCCACACTATTTTGGCTTGGGGGCTACTTTTCAAATGACCGAGCAAAAATAATCTACCTACATTGAAAACATTAAATATATGTATTTTCTCACAAATTGAACATACTTTATATGTACCTTAATTTTGGGGGTGCTGATTAATTGCAGGCACTGTAGCTGTATGGCACAAAATGTTTTAATTATTTCGGTATATGGTCACTATGCACACTATAGAATATAGTGTATACAATAGTATATTCATTTAATTGCTCTTTCTACTGGTAGATCGCAATTTACGTGTTGAACACCTGATTTATATTTTTATTTGGACCCAGTCAGATTCCTGTTGTACTTAGTTCCTTGTATTCATGTGACTTGGCTTTACATTACATTAGACCTTACTAGTACTAAGAAAAACTGTGCTGATCTGTAAGAACATGTGATCAGTAAATGATCATGGAGCAGAAATGTGTGCAGTAGCATGTTACATAACCTATGGTGGGTTTATTTGTGGTGACACAGCTGCTGCCTTGGACCCTGTGTTTGCTCTGCTGTGCCTGGAGAGGCTCTATGAAAGTTTTGTGGAATTGCAAATAAGTTTCATGGAGGATAAAACAGATATGACTAAAGTTTAGCCCCCCGGGGTCTGCATCATTAAATGAGATCAATGCTTCTCATTTGTGGTTTTACTACTGTGTGTTATGTGTATATTGTTTTTTTTTTACTGTCCTCACACATACGCAGTGTCTGAATAAGTAAAACGAATTTTATTTGCCAAGAGGTTTGTAGTTTGGCAGATGTCGTTGTCTATAAGCAGAGTTAAGAAGGATCCTTTTTTTACTCCATGTACTTGAGTCATTGGTTCAGATATAATTATGTGAACCCTTTTAATTGTCAAAGGCGTGCTACTAAAGATTTTGTATTTTTATTTCCTTGTTAAATATTTTTAAGTGTTATATGCATATTACTTATTATTTTCAATTGTACAAGTTGTACAAGTTTAAATAGATTGATGTGTGTTATTTATGTATGTGTTATTCATATTTATGTAAGTTACAGTAACAGTACAGTCAATGAGCACCTGATATAGACCTATTTGGTTACCATGTAGTCCAGCTCATGCTTGCAAACATTTTTCAGAAGCAAGCAGGTACGACCTCATACCATCATTAATGTGGCAGATTTTTCATTTCTTTTTGCTGGAAGAAAAATAGTGCCATTTTCAACAAATTTAACAAACCAATTTATTTATTTTTTTGTATTAGTTTGTTTGTCTTTTTCACAGTTGTTACTAACTACTCTGAAAGAACCAATTACTGAGTTTAACAGAAGGATTTTGTTGTCACATCAGAGAATCATTGTAAGCTAATTTAAAACAGTCAAAGTCTTTTCTCTAATAAAACTCTCCTTTCAAACAACTAGCTTCATCAAAGTGGAAGTAACCACTCATTTATTGAAAGGCATATTCAGTTTATAGGAGACAGACAGACAGACTGACACAAAAGTAGTCAGTCAGTCTGCCTGACTACTTTTCGTGTGGCTTTGGTTTCTGTTTTTGGAATCCCCACAGCCACTGAAGTAAGCCAGAACCAAAGACTGACTGAGTGTAGAGACCAGTGCAGAAGAAGAGAACCAGAAATCAGGCTTTGAAATGACCTGATAAGGTAGAACATCTGAGTGTTGTACGTGCTTGGGAGCATTTTGTGCTTAAATGCAGGATGTATAAATGATTATCAGCAGCACAGGACAGGAGGTGGCATGTTGAGAGTTTTCTGTCATGTTGAAGAAACTGCTGAAGTTGTGTTTAACCTTCTCAGATTTCAAACTTTCACAGAGTTGAACTAAACTAATTTAAAGATAACGGCCTGCTTTATGATTAACTGTAGTTTTCTGGGTTGGTAATGCAGCAATTATGCATTTTTGGCCTCTTGGCTTAATTGCATAAGACGTGTTGGTCTGAAGGATATAAACAGAAGTTTTAAACATGCTGTGGATACCTTACGCTAGAGGATATTACCAAATTGTGTATTCATGTATTCACTCTGAAACAACATATCTTACTGCTGTGGTTTCTATGTGCTGTTGTTCAATTTACCACAAGATTGCTCCTAAAAGTAGACTGGGTGCACAGTAAGTAGTATATGACACTGTACTAGGGACTATGAGAGCAGCCAAGCTGTAGTGTCCTCCTGTAGTATTGGTAAAGAAGGCAGTGATTAAGATCATTGATATAATGTAATCATCACGTAGACATTTACCCACGTGTGTATGGAAAAAAAACAATTGCATATCCAAGCACGTTGGATGTTTGCTTTCTGAGATGCCCCATTACAACTCTTGGCTCTGTTTTGTTGTCTCATTTCCAAAGTCATATTTAATGAAAACAATATTATTATTTTTTTATTATTATTATAAAATGAAAATGAAATTGCCTTTCAGCTGGGTTGGTGAAAAAACTAGATAGCTATCAGTAAGATTGTTGCTAAAAGAAGGAGAATTCTTTAAAATTGCTTGAACATGACCTTGTAAAACACATGTTCAACTAAAGAGCAAATGACAATGTCTGTGCTCCTCGCTCAAACCCTGATGGCAGTGAGCTTCCTCCACTGATACCCGTCTGCTTCCTCTTCCTGTTTTTGACCTGAGAGGCCAGCACCAAGGTCAGACGGGGTTTGAATACCCAAAAACATGGGAGAAGAAAGAGCATCAGACAGAGAATGAAAGCTGAGTGAGAGGTGGACAACAGGGGGCTGGTGTGTTTGTAAAACACTCACGTCCAGATGCACAGAGAGGAAGTGCAGGGTATAAAGAGCCGGAACAAAGTTTAGGAAAAGTGCCACCAGCAAAGTCCTGAATGTAGCATCGTTAGATTTCCTAACTATTGTGTTTTTTTCAAATATATATATTTTTTAATTTAACTCGTTGTTTTTGACTCTGAGGCATGTTTTTCTGGCATGTGCTTTGCACAGTTACAAAAGAGGAAGTTTGACCTCAAATTGATGGTATTTGAAATTTTGTCACATATATAATAATAATATAGTAACACCAAATTAAGCCAAAAATATCCAACTCCCTATGCTACAACAGAACCTCTGTACAATGCTTCTACCATCTACTTCTACATCACTCTTTTCTTTAGACTCAAACGTGGCCCAGATGTGTTAGGCTAATGCCCTCTGTGCATAAGACACTAATTAACTCTTTGTCCACTCTAGGTTCTTCTCCGTCTCTCTCCTCTAAGAAGCCCAGGAGTGGAGGCCTCTTCTCCAGCCTGTTCTGTTGTCTGTGTCGGGACCAGCCAGAACCACCGCCCGTCAACAACAATGCCCCTCTGCTGGTTGAGGAGAATGGAACTGTTTCCAAGGTGTGTTCACTTCCTTCTGGCCTATTGGCATTTGTATATGTCCTACATTCAAAACAATGAAGAGATCAAATCTGTGTCAGTAAAAAAAAAGAGACAGAATGTCAATTGCTCTTCATAAATGCTGTCACCTGTGACTGGAAGATTGTGTTTCCAGGTCACTTGCCTCGCCCCACTCTTTCTGTTCTGAGTCACTCTGAGGGAATCCCTGTCAAATTTAGTTCATATGTCAACATTGATTTGATTTAGTGGTACTTGAAAGTTCAAATTGAAGGATCTGATGTTGCACCACCATTTAAAAAGAATAATTAATAAATTAATTAATTAATTTTCAGGAGTTTATACCTATTTGCAGAACACTTGCAAACTTGCAAAATTATTTTTATTGAAAGTAATAAGGCAAAGATTATTGTTTTACACAAAACAACAACTTTATTTTTCTACTTTTATTGTAATTTTTTTTTAAATAATCCTATCTGTGAGTGTATATATAGAAAATATTTTACTACAGTTCAAGGAGTGCTAGGGAATGTTTTAAATAGTGTAAGTGCTTTTGGTCATGAATATTTTTTAATTGCAGTAAATGTTCTTTATAATTAAACCTGTGAATGGGCATTCTTTGTACTCCTTTTTACAGTCCTGTACTTTTCCATGCGTTTCTCATGCTGCTAGTCAAAAAGCTAAAATAGATCATTCTGCTTTGTTTTTAGATCCAGGTGAAGCCGCTGCTACCTCCAGTGAAGTCAAAAGACTCTGGAAAGATCTGCGTTGTCATAGATTTGGACGAGACGTTAGTCCACAGCTCTTTTAAGGTACAGTCTGACCGCATGCTTGAGACATGCACATGTCCCTTGGGCATCGGTCCACAGTTCAGCTTGTTGCTTCACTTGGCTCTGGCATTTCTGTCACTGGTCGTAAATGAAAAATCTAAACTGTCTGGGTCTAAAAATAAAACCACCAGCTTCGCCAGAAACACACCATAAAAAAAAAACAAGCCTGTTGTCGTAGTAGTTACTCTCTCTCATTTTCACTGTCTTCTTTCTGTGATCTGTTAAACATTCTACCACAGCTTTATAGTGTAGGTGTTTTAAATGTGTTTGAATATAAGCTGATGATAATGTGTGACTCACTAATGATGGCCGTCTGTGTTTGTTGTGTCCTTCAGCCTGTCAACAATGCAGATTTCATCATTCCAGTGGAAATTGACGGAACAGTACATCAGGTAAAGTCCATTTCCATCCCACTCAGTTATGCCACAGCAGGGACACTGTGGCGCCACCTACTGTTCATCCTGGGAATGTTTAATGTCTCCTGAGCGTGGTGCTGGTAGAGTTTAATGCTGCTCAAAGAAGAAGATTCTGAGAGTTGGATGACACACAGTGGGTCTGGGCCTGGTTCAAGTAATCCAGGATAGGTTTGTTCAGACAAGCTCAGCCTATTCTGGATGACTTGGTTCAGGAACGCTGCCCTCAGCTGCCAACACTGGAGAAGGAATAAAAAAAAAAGTTCTCCAAAACAGTGTCTGGGATTGAAACCCATATATAGCAGTGGTTTTTCAGTGACAACAGAGTATAAAATGTGATGTGTGTTCAGACGGTTCTAAGATCTGCAGAAACGTTTTATTCTGGCTGGTTTTACATCTGCTTGTGTCTTCCAGGTGTATGTCCTGAAGCGACCCCACGTGGACGAGTTCTTGAAGAGGATGGGGGAACTGTTTGAGTGCGTCCTCTTCACTGCCAGTTTGGCCAAGGTTCGACTTCACCGTAGCAGCTGTCAGGACGGGAGGAAATCAGATTATGCACAGACAAGTCCACACATATAGTTACACACCTTGAATTCTTCCAAAAAAGATGATAAAAGATGATAGTTAAATGTTACTGGTACTAAAAAGAAGTCTAATCTGTTGACGCCTGTGCGTCATATATTATGTGCGTCATATATTATGACGCACAGGCCATTATATTTTCTATTCAAGAAACATCTGATCGCTCACAACGAAATAAACAAACCACTATCTTTTACTAGCTGCCCTCTGCTGGATAGTGTTGGATGATTTTGTTGGATTTCAACTTTCTGTACCCAGTTGGTCTCCAATTCAAAATTGTGTTAGATGGAAAATGAAATGTAATTGTGCATTTAAAACTATGACAACAAGGAAAATTATGATGGATGAGGCTGAATGAACTCATGGATTTGAACTAAAATGGTCCAAATCAGAACATCTGCAGCTTCAAGTGTAAACGTGACAGGTGTGCAGGGCCGTCATAATCCCATGTCACTCTTTTGCAGTACGCTGACCCTGTGTCTGACCTCCTGGACAAATGGGGCGCCTTCCGCTGTCGCCTCTTCAGAGAGTCCTGTGTCTTTCATCGAGGAAACTATGTGAAGGACCTGAGTCGCCTGGGTCGTGACCTGAACAAGGTCATCATCGTGGACAACTCGCCGGCCTCCTACATCTTTCACCCTGACAATGCCGTCAGTACCTTGTTTTTGCTCGAAATTTTAAGTGATGTGAATTTTTTTTTTTTAAATGTCGTTCACTCTAAGGTTTCTCTGTTTCTTGTGAATATTTGGATTCATTGAAGATTAATTTAGATTTAATTAATTAAGATTAATCAACCAGGTACACAGATCTCCAGGGCTACTATCAAGCTACAGTTATTAGTACCACAATTATTTTAGCTGTTACAGGTTTGTCATTTAACTATTGATGAACTGTTCCTTAGCTTGTTTATATTTGAGCTAACATTGTCTATTTCTCGCTAATTTTCCTCTTTGTTATCTTGAAAGCATTTTGTTCAGTAACTTTCAAATTTCAGCTTTAGCTTTTAGTTGATTATCTTTAGGCTCTTCTATTTTTTTAAGCTTTTTCTGGAACAGAACATTTTTGCTACTTCTGTTATTGAGTTACCTTTGTTTGCTAACCTTTACTTAGGGATGTCAGATATATAAATAGATAGATAGATAGATAACCTTTTGCCGATGTGCCGGTATTGTCCAAACACTTAATGTCCAATTCCCATGTCAACTGACACCAATATAGACCTGGTAATATTTATTTATTTATCTGTACAAACCACTGTATGAGTTGTTGGCACCAGCATACTGCATACTAACCTACGTATACTACACACATACCACCTCCTTAATATCCCAAAGGGAACTCCCAAGGGATTAATAAACTTCTATCAACCTAACTACTACATATTAAAATCGATTAATTTAATTAGCTGCAATGCTGCCATCTAGTGACTTTTACTTTCATATACAGCTGTTGTCCCCAAAACTATTTTTAGGGCACACATCATTCAGCAGAACTCATTGCATTATTGGGTTTTATTGTTGGAGGAAAAACCTATAATGATTATTACAGATATTACATAATTGCAAATATGCTAATATCGAGCCAATAATCAGTCGGTCGATATTATCGGACATCCCTACCTTTACTGATACTGATTACGGATAACTCTGAGCAGTCTTTTGTTTTTTTTTTCACCCATTATTTGTCTAAAATTGACGTAATGACTGCGCTACCTTTTATTTATAAAACATTTGCTTTATGTTTACTGACTATTTCAATATTGCCTGGATACTTTGGCTAATATCTGTTTTAACCATTTCTTAGTTAGTAGGGCTAAAAGTTGAATGAAAAGAGCATTCAGAGATATTTATTGTTTCAATACCTTTTAGTGTTTTGTTTAAATATGTATTACTTTCCAGCTATTTTAGTATTTTCAACAACTTTGATATTATTGACAAATTTATCATTTTTCTATGCTGGCTTTTAGCTATAATTGGTCCTAACAAGTTGTTGGTCTGATTTGTTCCACCTGCTTTTGTTGATGTTCATCTCTAATGTCTGGCATGTGGCGAACAACCTCTTAATACCAGGAAGTGACAGGATCTAATGAACAGCTCAAACCCTGTCATTGTAGTTTATTGACAAACAATTGGAAAGTAAATATTTCAGAAGTTGAACTGATTTTTCTGTATATTTTTTCCAAAGGTGCCTGTCGCCTCGTGGTTCGACGACATGTCTGACACTGAGCTCCTAGACCTCATCCCGTTCTTTGAGAGGCTGAGCAAAGTGGACGACGTCTACGCGGTCCTCAAGCACCAAGGGGCCACAAGCTAACAGCGCTGAATCTCCCATCAGCCTCAGCGCTGAACCCAGTGTCACTGCCAACCAGAACCAATGATGTTCCACAGCTGCAGAGCCTCAACTTCTTTTCAGTGACTCTTCCCTGTGTTTCAGGAAGAACGCCACCCAGCTCACCCTGGAAGCCTTAGGCTGCCTCCTTCTGGCCAAACTGAAGACTGCCTGGCTATGAACCGTATCTATTGCATGATTGAGGGTTGAATGAATGTTTGAGAAACATTTTTCAAAGCTGAACTTAGCAAGTTCAACTTTAAAATATGAATTGAAACATGGTTAAACAAAATTAAGTGGAAAAAATCCAGACGTTTGCATAGGAAACCCGTTGGGAAATCCATTCAAAACTTTTTTTTTAAAAGACCTGACATACGCAAAAAGACACTGCCTGCTGGGGACGGCAAAGAAGCTTGGATTTGAATGATTGGAGGTAAAAAAAAAAAAACAGACAAAGCAGCAAATTCCTCTGTGTGTTAGTCTCAGACAAAAGGACCAGGATGGGCTGTAAATGCCAGTGTTGGTATCTTTGCTTTTCTTTGTTTTTTTTAAAGGTGCCTAAAACCAGAGGCTCTGTTTCTACTTGTTCTAAAAGCCACAAGGAAAAAAACTTGAATTTTCTCCCAACATTTACAGACTGTTGAAGGGAGAAAGGAAAGTGCAACTTCTTTTCTCTGTGTTAATGAAGCGGTACACAAACGCTGGACACAAGTGCAGAACCTGGAGAGTCACGGACACGTAAGCTGTTTTCTGTTCTATAATTGTTGTTCACTTCAAATTCAAAGGTCAAATTCACCCTAAAAGCTTCTGAGGAAACATTAGCGGCTGTTCTCGTTTTACATAGACTGTTTATATGAAATGAATGTTGCTGTTGGAACAGTAGCCTGTGGGAGTGTTGAATGGTTTACCAGTTTATTTTTCTGATCACAGGTGTCGTCACCACTAGCACAGGTGTCAAAGTAGAAAAGTCACTTTAGAGAAAAACAGATGATGCGACTGGGATTGACAGCGGAACTATTTTGTATCATCCTGGTTAAAGACCACTCCACTGGAGGTTTGTCCTAAAGAACAAATTCACTGCTGTCTCCACATTCCATGGCTGAGTTAACTCCTGACTTAAAATGATTATTAGAGATCATATATAGAGCTAAACATTTAAGTCAGTGTTAATTCAAAAGAGGAAACACAAACCATCTGCAGGCCTGTAGTGTGACTTGGTTTTAGCTTCTTTAGTTTTTGTGCGGCTGCCTGTACTGAAAACACATTTGTTTTAAGTGTGTGTCAAAGTGCCTTTTTGTTGGACCTGTGGTTAGCCAAGTCAAAAAGCTAATTTTTTCAACTACGGTATCAGAGTAAACTATTACAGTATTTTATAATATCGTATAAAGTATCGGTATTTTTCATAAACATGGATTTTAAAAAATATATTTTTTATATATTTTTACAGACCTAATTAGTATCTGATGACGAGCGCAGCAAATGCTTTTTTTTAAATCATTTTGTTTTTATTGTCAAGAAAAAGGGGCATCACATCTAGAGTAGAACTGTTGTGGAGGGTTTTTGTTATTTTAGTACAAACCAGTTATTTGATGGATTCGGTTGTCAGAACATTGACCATTTGTGACTGTTTGTTAGAAGTGTATTGTAGAGAGTTAAAGTTAGGTAGTATTGACCCCTGACCTGGAGCAGGACGTAGCCCCTCTGTCACACATGTATACAGTAAACTGATTTTTGTTATCAGTATATTAATGAACGTTCCCTACAACCAAGCTTCAGTTGGACCATCCTACTGTCATGAACCACTTAGGCAGCGTTCATTTTGACCAATCGCCAATTTTTATTAAATCTTTTGACTAAATTGTAACTCTAAATCCTGATTACGGCATAAAATTGTTTTAATTTTAGTTGAAGAAATATGAAAAAACATTTGACTAAATCTCATTCAAACAGTGAAATATTGTTTATATATTTTACTCAGTTCTGAAAAAATCAAATCTTAATTGGGCTTTTAAGGAATGTTAACTATGTTTTATTGAACATTATCATTATTCACGTTTATTTATTGAACATTAATATTTTACAGGGAATTGTACAGTAGTATTTGAGTCATTAATGTATACAAGACGTGCGTAGTGGTATTACAGTGTTGACAGGCCTCAACAGTTTTACTTCATAGCTAACTTTAATACCAGGTCAGTTCATATATTGCTGCTTTGGTCAGTTTAGCTTTTCCTGGACCTCAGGATAATGTCTGCAGATTACACTTCAAATTTGTCAAATTTTGTCATTTGTCCTGCTGGACACAGTTGACCAGATAATACCTGGCTTTATCCTGTCTTCTGTTTGTTCTACTACCAGACAAACATTCCCTAAGATTGGTTTTTGACCTCATTTTTTCTCCTCTAAATTGGCGCTGAATGGACTTCGTCCCTACAGTTTTGTATTTTTTTTGTCTTAATTATGTTAGTTGGATTTTACAATCGACAATTTCATCAGCATTAGCTCCGCATAATAATCTGTTTAGTTTTTGTCTTACAAAATAAGATCTTTGACGTTTTGAAAGTTGACTAAATTAATACTGCATTCATGTCCTGCCTCTTGTCTGATATCATCTATTTTTCACTAAATGGGATCAAAATTTGCAGAACTTACACACTTGAAACTAGTGATAGAAACAATATAGTTCTCAGGAAGGTGTTTACTGTTACCAGTTGTTTCTTAGCCAGAGAGTTGGGGGTCTGATTCCTACAGTTCTTGCTGTTGATTATTCCTTAAATTAATGAAAATGATTGTATCACTAATGCAACCCTTAAAGGACCAGAGAAATCACATTTACCTAATTTAATATACACTGAGTCAACTCCCAATTAATCACATCTGCATCTAACTTCTCTTTTGGCAACATTCGTTCTTTATACACAGTCTGTTACCTGACATGATTACCAGATATTGTTTTAAATGTTATTTTTTTCAGCAGAGGGTGCTGTATCTGTAACTTTATCTTGAATTCACTCCTGGCTCACCACTAAATGACAGATGTTGAATTGGTGTGAACTTGGAGGAAACTGCTAAAGTTATTAGCCAAGAGCCGCTGTAAAGTCGAAGGCACTTAGAGCACCCTCTGCTGGATCACACAACTACTACTGCGTAGCAAATTCAGGCGGGTTATGATGCCCAGATAAGAAAAAAAGAAGAAGAAAAGAATAGAAAGTGACCGTCCTAGCTTGTAATGCAGCAATGGTAGTTGTCAGTGACTGTGAAAAAATTTTTAGGGTGGATTTTACCTTTATTGCTCTGTGAAGTCTGGGACATTCCCACACTCCACACTACGGTATGCTCCGACAATACTGCTCCAATGATTGAAAACTGGATTTTTAAAGAGGAAAATGAAAGATGAAAATGCATCCCACCAAATGAAACTCTACTAAATTTTGTCTTTTTTTTATTGTTTAACAAATTCCTGGCAATCAAATATGCCTTTTTTTAAAGAAAAATATAGAATTACTGATTTTAATTATTTTTCTCTCATACAGTATTTACACTTTTGCAGATCGTCAAACACCAGCAGCCAACTAAACCAGTAGCTTGTCACTATCCAGATGTGCCTTTCATATTAGCATTATAACTCTATTGTTTAGTTGTAAGTCATGCAGTGGAAAAAATAGTATTTATAGGAACATTGGAGTCCTGTGTTCAGAACAACAAAGGTTTTTGTTGGGGCCCATTTGTTGAGACTGTACTTCTTACACATTCAATAGATTTGTATATTTTGTTTTGCACAGTAATAAAGCAAACAAATCTTCATTAATATATGGAAAGTTCGTGTTACTGATCTCAAGAGTCAGTAGATGTAACCTAATTTTTCGACCTGTTGTTTTATTATACCAAATCATATATACATTCTTTATGTAATAATGTAATTTTCCCCATAAACCTTCAAAGAAAGTAGTCCAAGTGCTGCTTCTGTTGACTTTTATTTCTTCTTGGTTCTTCTCAAAAGCAGTAAAGTAGTAATGTAATGACTACACCAGAAAAGTAGAACTGATGAAGCCTCTTGGATGAGAGGAGAAATGTCTTCAACTTATTTGAAGTGAGTCCAGTAACTTTAAAATAGCTTTTGAGATAATTATGACCTGGGTGAGAATGTCCACAAATATGTTCTTGATTTTTCAAACACAGTTTCAATACACAGTGTTAAACAATGACATTAATAATTGGTCCTTCATATGATTTAATCCATATCAACCAGGATAATCAGTGGCATGTGGTCTTTAGTAGCAGATGACTTGTTTAACAAATTTCTGCCGTTCCTTTAAAAATAAAATTGTTTAACCAACTCAGGTGCTTAAATCTAAGGTTGACCATTCACAGATATGTTGTGGTAACAGTTAAGTCTGTCTTATTTGCAAAGACAAACATTGGTAACATGATATAAGAAGACTATACATTCACATATAGATAAAAGTTAACTAAAAAGGACTAAAAGTCTCCAAAAAGAAATAATGTTAATTATTATAAAGTATTATTTTCCCAGGCTAAAACCCAGGGCAGTAGTGGCTTGGAGGTTAAGGAAGTGGACTTAAGTCTGGAAGGTTTCAGGTTCGAGTCCAGTTACCACTGAGGAGCTCTGAGCATGGCACGTCTCCACACACTGCTCCCTGGGCGCTTAGAGCTGCCCACTGTTCACTTTGGTGATGGGTTAAAAGCAGAGGTCACATTTGGTTGTGTGCTGTCACAAAGAAAAGTAGTTCATTTTCATGTCTGTTAAGTTAGTCATCTTATGCAAAACTAGTCTTCAAATACCCTACCTAGTCCAGTTGCCCTATATTTTTGGATAGTTCACTTTCAACCTGATTAGTAACTGCAAAATCCAGCAGAGGGAGCTATAGGAGCAGACTCATCCCCTCTATGCCCATCAGTTTTAACCCTTGTGCGGTCCTTCGAATTTTTGTACACACGTTTGTCCTTGCAATGATTTTGTCCCAGAATAATAATAAGTATAAATGAATATGAGGAAAAGTTGGCACAAGTCATGCAGTACAGGAACATGCACACACACACAGACACAAAGACATATTGGGTCTAGGTGACCCAGGGGTCACTTAGACCCGAAGGACTTTACAAGGGTTAAGACATAAACTTATGCTCTGTTGTTGTGGTTTCTCACCAGCTAGAAATCTGCTGGACTAAACATATGCTGCTGTCTGACAACAATAGTTGTTTTTGTATCTGACAGGAGTATAAGAACCTTCATTGTTGTTTTTTTACTGGTTTTCACAGATCTAATTGCACTTGTATGTTATATTTGTATTTGTAAAACAAACTACAGTTTCTTTGCTCTTACATGTCACACTGTTATGGATGTGTAGAGGCCTAAAATCAGGATGAGGTCAAAGAGATTGAGTTGTTAATCCACCTCCAGAACCCAAACCCAGCATAAAGAGGTTCAGTGAAAGTGGTGTTGAAGGTGTGCAGGTGGATCAGTGTGTCAGAGGAGACAACAAAGAAAGACACGGTGCCACCGGGACAGTCCACATACACGGCACCTTTGTTTGGACAGCTGAATGAGGAGGTGATGGAGCTGGTCGTCAGGTTGTTGTCATGGTAAGCCAAGTACTTTCCTTGGGCGCAGATGTCTTTTGTTTTGTGTGAGAAGGAGAAATAATCTAAGTTGCAGCAGTAAAGCGCCCATGACTGAGGGTTTCGTCCGAACCAGCAGTCTTCCTCGTCTCCCTTGCGGCCCACTCCTTTGTAAGACAGTGCAATGCAGACTATGCCGTCCCAGTCTACCTCCCAGTAACAGCGACCGGCCAGTGGGTTGGCACACAGCAGCTGAGTACGCTGGTCAAATCTCTCAGGAAGATCAGGGTACGGTTGTGGGTCCTCAACGTATGTCACAGTCCTGCCATCCTTCGATACACTGATGTTTGGGTGGACGGTGTCTGGGTCAAAGGTGTTTACCAGGAAATCTGACAGAGAAAAAGTCATGATTGAGGATTTGTTTCCTCCAGCAGTGGTCACCACAGCTACACAGTTTGTATTTCAGTACAGCTCCAGAGTAGAGTAGGGCTGGGTGATATGTTGATTTTCTTTGTTCTATCAGATGATTTTGCTTTACATGATATAGAACTATAGGACTATACTGTTTACAACACTTTCTCAGAGACAACATGGTGAACCATGATGATATTGTGAGTTCAAAGCGAAGTTCAAAGTGAATGAGACTCAAACAGTGAGGATTGACATAAATACTATATCAGATCTGAACAAGGCCGTCATTTACATACACACTTACATTTCTTCAGACCTTGTCTCAGCCATCGCACTCCTTCAGGTTCCACCCTAAAGGAAGAACAGAACAGTTGAGTTTATGGTATGGAGTAAAACTGGCTGACTAAAATAAATATTACTATTTACCAAGTACAATGCAGAAACGTTCTGACATCTCGCCCGGCTGTTTACCTGAGAGTTTCCAGTACACAGTGTGGACTCTGCAGTCCAACAGACAGCAGCTTCAGCCCCGAGTCCTGGATGTTGTTGTGACTCAGGTCCAGGTCTCGCAGACTACACGACTCGGAGCTGAGGACTAAGGCCAGATCCTCACAGCTTCTCTCTGATAGGTTGCAGCCACTCAGTCTGGAAGAAACAGCTGTTTTTTATGTGTAATGTAATTTTTTTGTTTCTTTAAATGTAATTCCTCAGGATCTACCAGCACGAACCTAATCCCTAACTTAATCAATCCATTTATATATATATATATATATTTTTTTTTTTTTTCACATCTTGTGTTGTGTTTATGTCACATCTAAACAGCTAGTCCATAACAATTTTGTGCAGGTACTTTTATAAACAAGATTGGGCTTAGAGCTGTTCTCTGATGTAACTCGGAGCATGAACCCATCTGTCACTCAGACTGCACATCTCACATCCCATAGATGCCTCGCTTCACCCTCATACACAACTCTTTATCATTTTATCAAAGAAAGGACTTTGACTTTAACCTGAGCGTTTCCAGGACACAGTGTGGACTCTGCAGTCCAACCGACAAAAGCTTCATTCCTGAGTCCTGCAGGTTGTTGTTGCTCAAGTCCAGGTATTTCAAAGCTGAGGATTTAAAGCTGAAGATGTCTGACAAGGCCTTGCAACTTCTCTCTGAGAGATTGGAGTCGTTCAGTCTGGAGGGAAGGTAGGGACTATGAAAACACATTTCATAACATATTTGAGAACAAATGAATTAAGGTTTCTACTCACAGAGCTTTGGTGGAGACTTTGACCACGGGCAGGAGCCTGGGAAGAGCCGCCTCTGAAGCCCAGTATTTTTTCAGTTCAAACACATTCAGGTCCTCGGCAGATGACAGCAGGATAAAGGCCAAAGCTGACCACTGTCCAGGAGACAGTTTACCCTCCTTAAGACTTCCTGATTCCATGTACTGCTGGATCTCCTCCACAAGAGAGCGATCATTCACTTCATTCAGGCAGTGGAACAGGTTGATGCTCGTCTCTGCTGAGGTAGTCTCTTCGATCTTCTTCTTGATGTAGTTGATGGTTTCCTGACTAGTTGATAAATAAATTCCAGTGTTTGTCAGCAGACCATGAAGAAGACTCTGATTGATCTTCAGGGAAAAACCTAAAAGGAAACGGAGGAACAGGTCCAGGTGTCCGTTGTGGCTCCGTAGGGCCTCCTCAATGGCACTGTGGTAGAACTGTTTCTTTGCCAAGGCAGACAGTGGAAGGTTTGACTTCTCCTGTGTTATCAGATTGAGTCCTAAGTTGATGAAAGTCAGGTGGACATAAAGAGCTGCCAGGAACTCCTGAACACTCAAATGGACAAAACAGAAAACCTTGTCCAGGTACAGGCCCTGCTCCTCTTTGAAGATCTGCGTGAACACTCCAGAGTAGACTGATGCTGCAGTGATGTCGATGTCACAGTCTCTCAGGTCAGAATCATAAAAAATCAGGTTTCCTTTCTTTAGCTGCTCAAATGCCAGTTTCCCAAGACTCTTAATCATTTCCATGCTCTCAGGACTCCAGTGTGGGTCTGTTGGAGACCCTTCATCGTACTTGACTACCTTCAACTTGGACTGAACCACTAGGAAGTGTATGTACATTTCAGTCAGGGTCTTGGGCAGGTCTCCTTTGTGTTTAGTTTTCAACATATTCTCCAGAACTGTTCCAGTGATCCAGCAGAACACCGGTATGTGACACATGATGTGAAGGCTCCGTGATGCCTTGATGTGGGAAATGATCTTGTTGGCTTTGTCTGTATCTTGGAACCTATTTTTGAAGTACTTCTCCTTTTGTGGGTCTGTGAACCCCCGAACCTCTGTCACCATGTCAATGAATTGGTCCAGGATTTGATTGGCTGCCGCAGGTCGTGTGGTTATCCAGAGGCGTGCAGTGGGAAGCAGCTTCCCTCTAATGAGATTTGTCAGCAGCACTTCTACAGAGGCAGACACTGAAGGGTCAGACACCAGCTCAGTGTTGCGGAAGTCCAGTGGGAAACGACACTCATCCAGGCCATCAAAAATTAACACTGTTTGGAATTCTTCAAACCTCGATATTCCAGCTTCTTTGGTTTCTGTGAAGAAGTGGTGAATGAGCTGTACCAGGCTGAGCTGTTTGCCCTTTAGCAAATTCAACTCTCGGAAAGTGAATGGAAGTATAAACTGGATATCTGTATTGGTTTTGCCTTCGGCCCAGTCTAGAGTGTACTTTTGTGTCAAAACTGTCTTCCCAATGCCAGCTACGCCCTTTGTCAACATTGTCCGGATTCTGTCTCTCCCAGGTGACACTTTGAAGATGTCTTCTTCTCTGATGGTCCTTTCTTCTTTGCCCAGCTTCCTGGATGCTGATTCAATATGTCTTACTTCATGTTCTTCATTAATCTCTCCAGCATCTCCCTCTGTGATGAAGAGGTCTGTGTAGATTTGATTAAGGAGAGTTGGCTTTCCTGCTTTAGTGATGCCCTCAAACACACACTGGTACTTTCTCTTAAGGTTTGATTTCAGTTTGCTCTGACAAAGTGGAGCACGGGATCCTAAAAAAAAGAGCAAACAAAAAAAAGACCCAGTTGGTGGCAGTAAAACACCTCAAACCAAGAGAGCTGCAGGTAAAACCCTTGGTTTGGCAAATGTTGGTAGAATGCCTTTCTCTACAGCAAGAAGATCTGAAGGTGCACAAGCTCGGTCACTGGTTGGTGCACTAGTTTCCATTTGCAGTTGATCTTATTGTATAGAGTTTGCATATTCTAACTGTGTTTGTATTCTCTCTAGGTATTGCGGCTTCCTCCCCCCCACCCAAAAACATACTTAGTAGGGGAGTAGGTTGTGAATTGTCCAGTGTTTCCCCCACCCTGCCCCATGAATAGCTGGGGTTGGCTCCAGCACCACCTGCGACCCCCAAGAGGAATTAAGCAGTAGATGATGAATTAATGTTATAACTAGGGGCCTAGTTAATTGCTGCACAGTTTTCCATTAACTGAATTCAGCAATTTCCTTCTTTTCAAGATTAAATATTTGTCTTGGGCAGGACTATGGTATTGCAGACATCTGACTCAAGACATTCAAGTCCCAATTACTAAGCACTGTGACTTACACATAAACAGAAACCACATGACTTTTTAAGTTCACTACGCAATATACTATAGTTTGATTTTTTTAACAGTTGTTGGACAGTAATGAAGCAGCACAGCATGGTTTGGAACTTCATTGCAGCTGATGAGACTCAACTAGTGCAGTAAGTTGTGATTTATTTCCAAAGCCTTGAAGTTTGAAGAGAAGAAAGCATTTTAAACACACATTTACTGATAGCACTCAGCTAAAAGTTGTAGTTTGAACAGCATACATTTCAACATAGGATACTGAAGAGTTGAAAACAGATTCCTTACAATAACAACCCATTTTGGACAGAGCCCTGTTTGCCTTGTTTCAACTATGGTGACATGCAACAACAAAGAAGATTCAACTACTGCTTTGAGATCTATGCAAATATTAAAAATATTTCTTGTTAATTTCTCATACCGCTCTGAAGACAGTCAGCCAGATCCTCCTTGTTCATCATCCTCAGGAAGTTCAGTGTCAGCTTCAGGACTGCTTCTCTGTTGCTCCTCCCAAGTTCATCATCCATTGCATCTTCAGCTTTCACCTCTACCCCGACCTCTGAGCAGTCTGGGGAGTCTGACATCAGGACTTTCTGCATCTTCCTCAGCTCACTTTTCACAAACGTGAACATGTTGTTCTCCAGCAGCTGGAATAGAAAAACACCATCAAACATTATGAAGCCTCAAAACCATAGCCGTTAACAGAATTGGTACACACCGCAAACACAGAGTCCAGCTTTGCCTGAAGCTGCTGGCAGGGCTGGCCACTAGGATCAACCAAACACTCTTCATTAACCCTGTGGGGGGATTACTTAGAATTAGCTTAATTTATGTCAATTGCATTTCACAAAACTGTAGCTGTAGATATGACAGATACTTTGTTTATTCACTCTTTTACTCTTTAGTTATTAAGGCAAAGAAGAAATAAAAGCTGTGGCTCTAAAGAAAGCATTTGATAGGGTAGAGTGGAAGGACGTCTTGTACTGTATACTCTAGGAGGGTAGGAGTGGCAGAACAGTACACAAGGATGGTGTAGGACATCTGCTGTATGAGAGGAAGCAAGATCATGAGAGGCTGTCTGAGGGACAGATGGGTTCAGAACAGGGTTAAGATCTTACTGTATATATCCTATAGGGTCAACCTTTGCCTAATGTACATGTAAATAACACACAGAATGTTAGTGATAGCATGTGGATTAGAACAGGTACTAATTCCCATTAGGATTCTTGATTCACTTAGTTTTTAGGCTGTCATACATTGTTAAAATATTAGAAATAACTGCGCTAAAACAAGTATCACACTTGTATTTAATCTTTATCAAGCAACTGTTTATGGCACTGATTGTTAAAAGTGTGACCAAAAGGCGAAGAAGATTAAACTTTGTAAAAGTGGCATTTTGATTACTAAAAAAAACCCAAAAACAAACAGCACCTTTGCATCTTTGATGTCAGGGACACAGCGAGATCTCCACATTCAAAGTAATGTATTTTACTTATACAAACTTCTCTTCCAGCAAACATATTAACTAGGGATATCAGTTGGCCGATATTACCGCCCCATTATTAGCTAGCATATGATATGAGTTTTTTCCTCCAATTTGGGTTTTGCTAAATTATGTCTGCCCTAAAAATAGTTTTAGGGATAAATGTGAAAATTAATTATTATTATGTGAAATGATTATTATTATTAATGTGAAAGTCACTAGATGACAAAACAATTATCTAAATATTCCTCAATGTCACAATTTATTTCAGTGCAAAAAATTAGGTCAAAACCAATTAATATATAGCAAATAGATTACAAGTCGACTTTCAATCGAAATTTCACTTCAATTAACAAAGACTGTCTTCGGTTATTTAAAGCCCTAGTTGATTTATCAAAAAGTAGAGTGCATTTTTATTTATTTTTGAGAAACTTTGATTTTTTAAGACTTTATTAGAATGTTATTAGTGTAGTATATTGCTTTTGATACATAGTTGATCTACCAAAAAAGTATATCTTTTTTTTTTACACACACACACACACATATGTGTGTGTATATATATATATATTTAGGAGAAAGTTCAACAAGAAAAATGGAAAATATACATTTGCATTTCATTGTGTGCAATACATGCAGTGTATTGACATGGAAAATACATGGAATTCATACCTTACTTGTTTCCTGAAAAATGTAAATGTATACTTTTGACTGATACAGCACAAACAGATACTTTTCATGACTGACACATTGCAACCTTAGAGACAATGTCTCATCATCAGCTGCCAAGCAGTTACAACCAATAGATTTACAACTATCACATTTAAAATACATCAAATTCAGGTGTACTTACTTATTTTTGGCAAAACATAATGGTGGCTCCATGGACTGGTTACTTTTTAATGACATGCAGCTGGGCTCGCATTCTATTCCAGAATCAGAGGAGGTTGGCCTGTAATAATTCATAAAAAAATAGATAGATAGATAGATAGCTACAACTGAATCAATTTTGGCTGCTTCTCAGATCAGTGCTCTAAATTTAAGATGAGCAGTTTTGGCTCACTTTAATCTATTTACTATAATTTTTTGTATTATTTTTAGCTATTTTCTATTATTAAACTACTTTAGGAATAAATTGGATTCTTAACTGCTCTATAATTCTATAATTTGACTTTGTGTAATTTTGGCAGGAATCCTAGATGTTTTGTTTGCTTTACACTCTTTTTTAACACTTTTTTGCCTTAAAAATATCTTTCCGCTAATCAGAACCCACATTAAATTGTTTTTTTACTTACTTTGAACCTAACCAGGACCATTTGTTGCTACTTGGAACTTAAGGGAAACATAGCTAATCCCATATGTATGAGGTCTTTACTTTAAACAATTTTTGTGTTATTTCAGCAGTATCAGTTACATTCAGGGCTTACTTGTTTTTGGCAAAACATAATGGCAGCTCCATGGATTGGTTACTTTTACAGGAAACACTGCTGGGTAGAGGTTTTGGTCCACATAGAGATGACTGTTCTTTTAGATGATTCCTGAAAAGAGAAACAGAGAGGATACAGTGCCTCTAGCTACAACCTAAGTGTCGACGGTTTCTCTTTTGAGAGTGAATCTCTGTTTTACTGTCTTTTTACTTTTTCCCTGGATGTCATTCATGGATTCCAATCAGCAAAATATTTAATAGTTAGATTTAGCTCCTTCTGTCTTTTTTTGATTTTTTGTATTTATTTTTCTCTTTCTCATATCATTATTATTTTTTAGTCTAAAACAAATGATGTTATCTTTTATATGAAATGCATTACAGAAAAAAAGCTGCCTTGACTTCTCACCTTTGGACTTCGGGCTGGCTCCCATGTCCCTGGCACAAAGTAGTGGACTCTGTGACAGGGATTCCATTTTCACTGTCCTCACCCTGGTTCATGATCCTCAGTTTGGATTCAACTAGGGACAAACACATCAGGGGAGTAAGGATTAGAAATGAACAACCATTCTCTTCTGCTTAATCCTATTAAGTGAGGAGGAGCCAATTAAAGCATTCAAAAAGCCTATCGCCACAGTCTACGCCACAGTGTGAACTCCACAGAAATGAGGATCAAAATATGTAACAATTTGAGAGACTTTGTTCAGCTGGTTTGGACATGCGCTTTAGCAGATAGTTGGTGTAATAGAAGAACAGGCAAAGATGAAACACTCCTGAAGTCAACAAAGAAGACAATCTTTCAACCATACATAATCCGTAACGTCGTAGAAATAAACCAAAGAAAAAGCAGTACTTGTATAAAAGGATTATTGCTGTATCGCTAGCATAAAACAGGACAATTAGTACTGGGGCTGTCAAAAAGAACATATATGTTATATATGTACTTTTACTATATTCTGTTTACATTTTTTGAAGCATTTTAATGAATAGGAAAGTGAAGTGCGCCATATATAAATAGAAATTCCACCATTTATTTATTTATTTTATGGTCTGTATTGTCATTGTACCACGGGGTTACAACGAAACTGAGCCTCTGCTTTTAACCGATCACCAAAGTGAACAGTGGGCAGCTTTTAAGCGCCCGGGGAGCAGTGTGTGGGGACAGTGCCATGCTCAGAGCTCCTCAGTGGTGACGTACTTATGGTAGCTACAACAATCAGTCCATTCACTCTTTACACACATTATAGCAAAGTTTTTGTTTGACAAAGCTCCTGCAACTTGGACCTGGTTTTATCAGACCAGAGCGCAGGGCTGTAAATGGGTTTATAACTTAAAAATCTGACTGAGGCATTATTATGTATTTCTGTTTTAGCAATATACAGAAAAGAATCGTTGTCAAATTATAAATGTAGGTGTTTTTACACTGAGTGTTAAACAATTATTTAAAAAATGATTTTTAAAATAATTGTATATTTCAGTGATCTTAGCTGAACACTAAACACCTCGCATCCCAGACCCGAAAACAGTCTGCAATATATAATGTGTAAATTCATATGAAAAGATCCATCAGTCAGTGACAGCCGAAAATAAAACAAACAGCTCCGGTTGCACAGGACACTAAACGCTTCGCATTCTGCTCAAGCTTATTAAGGATTGTTTATCTAAAAAACATTGCTTAGACCAACTGCAGCTCACTGAGAGTGAAGTTAGCCAGATAGAAAAACATCACTGAGCGTTGCAAGTTATTTACCTTTACGACCCAGTCACAAAATGGCGGACGAATACATGACGACCACCGCATGTTTAACATCGTTAAACTTTACATGTTTCGCGGTCTGATTGCCTCTCAACCCAATAGAAGGTCCTAGTTTTGCACTAGTTTTTAATAAGCTTGCGTAAAAAAAATACAACAATGACACAACAATAACTTCCACCCACACGTACCTCTGCTCCACTGCAAGCGTCCATCTGTGAAAGTATAAAAAAAACAAGGAAGTGATATGGGCAAAACAATACAGCGAATATGTGCTGCACTTTAATAAAATAAATAAACGGCGCACAAACGTGAACTCAGGGTTTTTATGACATTTACTCGACAGGCGGGGTTTAGTTGAAAAAGAGAAAAATACATAAAGTAGCAACTGTACTTAATTTCAGGACTCCTTGATCTCCTTTGCAGTGAAGATAATTCTTATTAAAACAGCTGTGCGTTCTAGGTTGTTAGACTGAGAAATATTCGGGGCTTTATAAAACGAGGATGGTTATGTAAATTATGGTTATATTTTGAAAGACACTTTGAGTAGCTATTAGCTGAAATGTCCAACCGTCATGCATGAATCTGTTTTTTAACCTTCAAAAATGATAAAAATCGAATTTTTAATTAAACCTGAAGTTTTGATTCAATTATCTCTTTGATATATATCTGATATGTCTGATACGTTCCCTAAATTGAAATAACTTTGGTTAGGCTGTTCTATTTAATAAATAAACCCTCTCCTAATTTGTCCTTGAAGGTTTACAGTAGATTTGACACCACATCTAGAAGAGTTATTGGAACATTATAAACAAACATTTTTGAATTTTATAGTAAAATATTAAGATAGAAATATATCATCATGTATATAAACTAAATATATAAATAATTTGTATTTCTGAGTATTTATGCCATTATTTTATTTCGATAGTTTATACGTGCACAATGTATTATGTTAAAGTCTAGTAAAAAAAATATGTGTGGATTTTTGCTACGCCGCCTTTTGATTTATTTAATATTTTTCTGTCGCTATCAATGAAAGGCACTCATTTGCAAATTGCAGTTCGACTGACTGGCAGCGGTCGTTGCTGGCCGTTCGTGTGTTTGCCGGTGTTGACTCTGTCGATTGTAAAGAATAAAAAATACGAAGAGTTATGAAATGATGTGCGCAACTAACAATTGACGAATACGTATATGTACAGTATATAAAGTAAAGTTGGGAATCATACATGTTCAGACATTGTGTTTTAATTCCAGGCATGAAGGGGGCAGTATTGTGCCATCAAGGCGTTGTATTCACCGAATATTCCAAGAAGAGGAGCAAGACAGGAAGTGGTTGTACAGCTTTGTGATTTTACCATTCTTATTTACCTTTATTTTTCCACACTTATATTCTATTCCAACACTACAAAACAGTGAGACTTTACAAAAATGGATGAGTACCACAACGGAAACGAGGTATGACCGCGATTCACCTATTTTATTATTTATTTTGTTTCTTTTATCGTTTTGTCCACAGCCACTCCTTAACACTAACGTTAATCAGGGCTATTACAGCGTTAGCATTTTATTCTGATACTTTAGTGTCCTTTTCAACCCATATTATAAGATTAAATGTGTAAAATACGTATCATATTGTCTTAAACTGCGCTGTATAATGCTATATATTCTGGTAATAATGGCGTCGTATAATTATATTTTAATTTTAATCTCTGTGTAGAAGTCCAAGGCCAAATGTGTTTGTATTTTTAGTGTAATCTATATCTTTTTCTATATACCGTTAAAAATTAGCAACTGAAATAAGTCTTAAATACAGAATTTATACATATAAAGTTGGTATTGTTCAAAAACTTCAAAAAAGTAAGTTTATTAATCGATGGTTTAAAACATTAATTCCCTTTTGAGCCCATCCCAATCTCCAACGCTTGTTTGGAATACAGTGAATATCAAAGAGAAGCAACAAAAGATCTGCAGTACCTAAAATTACAGTCTGAATTTTATTCTCTGGGTAAAATGATCTCATAGTTTAAATATATTTCTTCAAGACACTTTATCCTGTCGACTTAAAGCTGGTCACTGTAGATCTGTCAACTTCACATCTTCTTTAAAAAGTATTTCTGGTTTGTAAAATCTATAAAAATTAAATATTTTATTTTTAACATTTATTTTATTAGTGTAATAGAATTTTAAACCAGGTCATACAGGCATAGTACCAAATAGTGGTCATGGTAACTGCTACGAATTCTAGCTACTAAGTACTACTACGTACTTGACAATTGGAACGATGCTCCCAGCTTTCTGTGTACCTTTTGTGATACTTATTTCAAAGCTTTCTTTTACCATTGTCATTATGTGTTTTAAATTATATGTGGATGGGCCTTTGTCATTTTCAGGGCTCTTTCAACTCGGAAGAGGCAGATAACATTGTTAAAGAGGTAAAAAAAATTCCTAACATGACATTGCATTTCACTTTATGACTTACTTTATAACTGCGTTTGAAAAATATGTGTTAATACCTATTATTAAGACAAAAATAGATCTATTATTTTTCCAGTTTCAATTTGTTTGAAGTTCAAATTGCTTCTATAGACCATATGAATGTGTGTGGACACACATACATACATAGACATAAATATAATAACAATAAATAAATAAACCTAATACATTTTTAGTATATCAACTATACTATAAAAAAATTGGCTTTATTTTTTATTGTATAATATATGTATATATACATAATATATGTATAAATATATGTAATATATAATATACTAAAAGATATTTTGCATAATATATTATTTATATATCTATATACAAAAATACATTTGTATGCACTCACTGTCTTTTAAAACGTAAACCCAAGATGCAAAAATTAAAGCTATAACTGCATATTATTTTGGTACATGATTTGTGACAGTTTTTCATTGCATCAACAGTGTGATATATGGGAGGTTCAAGGTAGTAACTTAAGTTGAAGATGAATCACTAACTGTCCCTTAATCAGGGGTCTCTACAGCAGTAGTCTTCAAAGTGATTTGGCTGTTTTTACACCAGATGCTCTTCCTGATGTAGCTGCATACAAGCATGTGATGTATAGCTGAAAAACACAGAGTTATCTGTGTATCCCAGCGTCCTGAGGGGAAAATATAATTTACGTGTTAAACACTGCATCTTTGTGCATCCATCTCCAGTGCATTGAGAATGTGGTGGGCGGTGAGGACTACAGCCAGAGTCAGGTGAACAAGTGGACAGCTAGTATTGTGGAGCGCTGCCTCACGCAGTTGGTCAAGCAGGGAAAACCATACAAGTTCATTGGTACGAGTGAGCCTTTAGCTGCCCAAATGTACACAAACTGTCTTTGTGATGATCTCATAAATGTTTTTGTTTTTCAAAATTCCTATTCAGTTACATGTGCTGTAATGCAGAAAACAGGAGCAGGACTTCACACAGCCAACTCCTGCTACTGGGACACATCCATGGACGGTAATCCAAAAATAAGTATTTTTACACAAAGCATATTTCCTTGTGTTCTCAGTAAAACAGCTTGAGTTTTGTAGCTTAAAGACATTGGAGTGAATTCCAATTTAAGCTAATTTAACTATATGATGTCACTCAACACCAAGGAGTCAATGTTATGATCATAAACTAGACTGTAATCTTAGAGCATCATAAGGACAGGCTCATGTCCAGCTGTTAAAAAAAAAAAAGTACAGTTCTTGATAATATTCTCAATTTTCTACAACCACTCAGATCACATGCTTGATATAACCCTTTTCTTTATCTTTTTCAGGAAGTTCCACTGTAAGGTGGGAAAACCGCACCATGTATTGTGTGGTCAGTGTCTTTGCTGTGGCCATCGCTTGAAACACACGCACAAACATTAAGAAAGACAAACAAAATGACCGAAACAACCAAACCACCGCCAGAAGAGAACTGCAGTGAGTCCTTACAAACGCCAGGGGGACCTTCAGTCACAACCACACAGTTGGTTGTGCACACCTTAGATAAACATCCCTGTGTATTTATTGTCTCATATGACTTCAAATCGACCTTCTATTCATCATAGATTGATTGTTTCCCATTTCCCATATAAAGCAGTGTCGCATAAATAGAAAAAAATAAAATAAAGTCATACAACCAAACTGTCTAGTGTACAGTACAAACTATTTTTCAGCTAGTAGTTTTACCTTCAATCAATTGACTGAGCAGGAGTTTTGTCGTCACAATAATAGAGGGGGATACAAAAGCTACCAAGCATGTAGCTTTTGTCCACCTAAAACATCTGACCGAAAATGATAGATAGAAAGATAGCACTTTAATCCCTCAGGAGTTCTCGTTGGGAATTTTATGCAGTACAGCACCAAAACAACAGTAAAAACTCACAAATAGGTAAAATACAATAAAATTCAAACATGAGTGGCAGCACACTGTCAATGAAAATGGGAAACCGGAACAGTGGATGTTATATATATATATATAAACAATGGTATATATATTATAAACCTTGAACAGGTAAATAATAGTTTAAATAAATACACAGTATAAGTAGTTGAGTAATTAAATACTTGTTGATGGCATCTCAATTATTTATTATTATATTTCAATTATACCATTATTAACCATTGTTATATATATGGCCACGTACATACCTATATATGTATATATGTATATATATATATATATATATATATATATATATATAAACAATGGTATATATATTATAAACCTTGAACAGGTAAATAATAGTTTAAATAAATACACAGTATAAGTAGTTGAGTAATTAAATAACTTAATTACATAAACACTTAGCTATAGTATATAAGCAGTTCCAGCAGATATATATATATATGGCCACGTACATACCTATATATGTATATATGTATGTATATATATATATATATATATATATATATATATATAAACAATGGTATATATATTATAAACCTTGAACAGGTAAATAATAGTTTAAATAAATACACAGTATAAGTAGTTGAGTAATTAAATAACTTAATTACATAAACACTTAGCTATAGTATATAAGCAGTTCCAGCAGATATATTAGTGTATGATGTTGACCAGATTTATAAAACCATTTTTACTAAGAGCTACTATACATATATAACATAATATTCTATAATATAGATGTTAGTAATATATTTATACACAGTATATAAGTTATAAATATACATATATACATACATACAGTATGTGTACGTACACCCACATCCACATATATGCACTATATATATATACATATACATATACACACAAATACATATATACCTACAGACATATACATCTAAATATCCATACTCATGTACATATATACACATATGCATATTCATGTATATGACATGTTATGCCAAATTAAAATTTTGTTGAAAAATTTAGATAAAAAAACAATTGTATTTCTTAAAATGCTCTAATTTAATGAGAAACATGCAGACAAAATAAAATTTTGAAAAGAAATAGTCCAAAGATTTTCATTATAATTTTTTCAGCATCTGACCAACATGACATGCGAAATTGAAATTTTACCAAAGAATTCAGAGAAATAAATTTATAAATTACTCTTTAAAATGCTCTTATTCAAACAGACAAGATACATCCATCCATCCATCATCGTCTGCTTATCCGCTTATAAATTTCCAAAAGATTTCTAAAAATGCTTTATTTGATGGGATACATGCAGAAAATATAAGATTTTGAAATGAAATTCGTACATTTTAATCACAATTTTTCACCATCTCACCAAAAGTGAGATGATTGTTTTTAATTTACCAAAATGAATTTTGTGGAGAAACATGCAAAAAACATAAAATATGACAAGATTTTCATCACAATTTTTCACAATCTGACCAAAATTGAGATGCAAAATTAAGATTTTGCTCAAAAAAATTCTAAAAAAAATTCTCAAAATGCTCATATTTGATGAGAAATGTGCAGAAAAGCTAAAATTTTGAAAAAAAAATTCCAAATTTATTTATTGCAATTTTTTACCTCCTGACCAAATATGACATGCAAAATTAGGATTT